ATTCGGTCAAAGTTATCCTCCCATCTAATGAGATGTAATTGCTCTTCCACCCAACTAATCTCTTCTCAAACCTTTCTACCACTGAATTCCAAAAAGTCAAAGAGTTGGGGTTGTCACCAAGTGGTAACCTTAGGTACTTGATAAGCCAATTTCCTTTTTCACATCCCAAGTGACTTGCCATATCCCTCAACACTTCTTCATGCACATTGGTTTCGATCACCACACTTTTATTCCAGTTAATCCTCAAATTGGAGACCCTTTCAAATAGATCCACTACCAACTTCAAGTTTTCCACACCAACTCTATTGTCCCCTTCACAAATTACCAGAATGTCATCTGAAGGAAGGGTTAGGATCCATCATATGGATGGCCGAACCATGCTAGATGGCTGGGCGAAATTTCAAAAGTTTCCTAATCCTTCCGGGAATCGAATTCCCTATGTTTTGAAAAACTGCATTTTTCAGGATCAGTCTTGCACTGAACCGGATCAGATATGAAACCAACCAAAAAGGGAGATGTATACCTGATACGAATACCACAAATGCAGATCCCAAGGTGGAAGTTCACACCCAAATCAGTCCTAAAACCAGCCTCCACTGAAGATGGTGCAATGTACTCCTGAAGCCGGTTCAACAACGCAGTTTTCAGCAAAACTGCAATCCAATTGCTTGGATTGAATTGGGGAGGTGAGCACAAAATTCCTTTGGATTTTTCTTGTAAAACTCAGAGGAAAACTGATCTCTATCAATCCCAAATAAGCTGTAGTTGAACTAGGGTTTCTTGGAAAAAAGAAGAAGAGAGAGAGAGCAGAATTGAGAGGTATTCTTGTTCAGTTCGCCCTCTTCTTTTATCTCTTTATGGAGCACTTCTCCTAATCAAATTAGGAGATTATCCAAATCTAATTTGGATCTGGACTTTGTTAAGAGATAAGCCTTATCCTCTTAAGAGGATAGGTGCTCCATACCCATTTCCAAACCCAGATTTGCCCCATGTCACATGACAACTTAAGTTGTGATGTGACAACTTAATTAATCATATTAATTATGGGCTTTAGGCCCATCAGCTATAAGGCTCATGACCCAAGGGCGTTGCATGGCCAACTTAGGCCTGATTTGTATGGCGTGGGACCCCACAATGACCTTACATAAGTCCACATGGGTTCGGCCCAACCTCTAGAAAAGGCCTGGCCGAATTCACTACTAAACACAATGAACCCCTAAGAACATTACTATGGGCTCAAAATGGGCCCAACATTTACACTTAAATGATCTTTGAATTCAACCATCCTATGAAGACCCAAGGATAATGGACTTAAGTAAGATAAAGCCCATCAGGTAATCAGCCCTGTAATGGCCTCTTACACTTAACCTCTCGGCCCATAATGATCAAACATTGCCCGACAGGGAAGGACCTCTCCCCTGGCTGCAAGGTGCAACGCCACACTCTCTACTTGGATGGATCCCGGGAATTAAAACCTTTTGCAAACATAATATATCATATAAATATATTTTGCAAAACCAAATCTCAAACACAGTTGAAATCCATTGCCGGCAGTTTAGGTTTCCATTAGAGAGAGTGTAAACCCTATCATTCACTTTGTCCGACAAAGGGGCCGATCCTATCACTATGATCACCCACTCAGATGAATTCTTAGACTGCCCCAACATACCTAGGTTTTGACCCTCAATGGATCTCACTGATTGGCACATCAAAGACAACCCAATCCAACACCTAGTGTAGTACCATAATCAAGTGTAGGGGTTATGTGTAACTTTCCAGTTTTGCCCATCAATCTCCAAGGTCTAGGGTATAACTGGAAAATGGTTCGGGTTCAGTGTTTAAACCAAACACACACTACATGTGCTTTGGGTCTAACACTTGTAGCTGAGACAAGCTGCCCCAACTTCTTTGGCAGCACATCAGTGTCAGCCTTGGTTGGATAAACTCCCCAAGTCTATCCAACGACTGAGAACGTTCTAAACTAACACGAGTCTCATAAGTGTCCAGTTTAAGGGGTAATTTCACAGAAACATACCAATATCAACATGAAATAGTAATGTACTTTTATTCATTTACAATAAATGTATATGTACATCAATCAGATTGGAGCTAAGGGCATACACTGTCTAACATCTGCAAATTGTAAATCCGTTGCCTGGATTCTATCTCTCCCAACTGACCAGCCCTTAATCAAGCTCAATTTATTGGCTTTTAAGATCAATTTGCTAAGCACCTCAGCTACCAGTGCAAATAAGAAGGGAGGCAGTGGATCACCTTGTCTAAGACCTCGAATCCCTGCAAAGAAATCAACTACCGATCCATTGACAAGAATTGAGTAATGAGTAGACTGCAAGCACCCTTTGATCCATTTGCACCACCACTCTCCAAAACCACTGCTTCTTAGGATCTTAATCAAAAACTCCCAATCCACAAGATCATGAGCTTTCTTCACGTCCAGCTTAACCACAATTCCTCTCTTTCTTGATCTCTTTTGAGCCTCAACACATTCATTTAGCAATTAGGATTTGATCTACAATTTGCCTATCCTGAACAAAGGCCCTTGAAATTGAGAAATAAGTGGAGGGATGACCTTCTTCACTCTAAGAGCCAGAACCTTAGCAATTATCTTGTAAATGCTTGTAACCAGATTGATGGGCCGGAAGTCTTTAGGATGGGCAGCACCAATTTTCTTAGGGACCAGAGCTGTGAAAGTTGAATTTATTCCCGGGATGATTTTGCCCCTCCTATGGAATTCCCAGAAAACTCTGATCAAGTTATCTTTGATAATCTCCCAACAATCCTGGTAGAAAGCCATTGTAAATCCGTCGGGCCCTGGTGCTTTAGATCTGTCAATTAAAAAAACTGCTTCCTTAATTTCCTCCTCGAAACTTCCTTCTAGGAACTCTACTTGATCGTTTCCCAATATCTCCTAATCAAGACCTTCAATTGACCATCTTTCATTGAGAGGTCTAGGAAAGCTCCCCAATTATTAGAAAGAGACTATCTCTGACTGTTTGAAAAAAAGATTGTCATGTACAGGAGTTATAGCTCCTCCCTTTAAAATGTTCTTGATAGCTAACCATGATTACAGTTTTCCTACTGTTTTCTGAACAACTTAGTCAACTGAGCTCTCCCTGTTTGGAATACTCTCCCATTTCTCTCCTGCCATGTAACTCAAAAAATAGCCACAGGAATCACACACCATGCAATCTTTCTTCTTTTACTTAGCCTCTCCAACCTTCACCCCTTTAAAAAGTTTAGGGTGGGGGAGGGTTCTAGGGCGAGGTTTTGAAAAATGAACGGTGTTGGTTGGGAAAGCTTTATGACCTTTGCCCAAGATTGTATAGTCTGAGTGGCAAAAACATCAATATTGATCAGCTTTTTGAGGTGAGGAAGGAGCTGGAGTTTGGTGCTTTACTTTTAGAAGACCACTGTTGGATTGGGAGTTAGAAGAATGTACCTTGCTATTGGATAAGCTTAATGAACAACAGATATTTCCTTTGGAAGATGATGTGAGATGGTGGAAAGAGTGCTCTAATGGGTTCAGAGGAAAATCTTTCTGTACTATAAATCTCAAAGATTGGGTGGAGGCCTCAAATATTAAGGGGATTTGGAGAAATCCTATTCCTCCTTGGGTGGAGGTTTTTGCTTCGCTTGAACAGCATCCTCATGGCTGACTATCTGAAGAGAAGAGGCTTCATTTTGACAAGTCTTTGCTTCATGTGTAACAGTAGTGAAGGTGCAAGGTACCTCTTCATATTCTGCAACATGGCAACCTTTTATGGAGTTATTTCCTTATTCTTGATTAAGATCCCTCAGCTCCACAGTTCAGATGAAGTCTTTCTATAAGTGGCCAAGGATTCTATGTAGCAGAAAAGCAAAGATCTTCTGGAGCTTGTATCATATTTGCAGTTGGTTGAGGAATTTAAAAAAAGTAAAATAGAAGGATTTTTGAAGGCAAGAGAAAGGAAATTAGACAAAATATGTGCTGATGTAGGCAATCTAGTTATCAACTGGATTTTGGCATTACCAGAATTTTTTGGGGATAGATAAAAGTGCTTTTGAGGTGGTTTTTTGGTAAACTCTTGAATTACAACAGATTGCAGCAAAATAAACTATCCTTCCTATCAGTTCTGTTGTAACTTCTCTTGTATCTTGGGTGCCAACTCATCACTCTAGTTTTCATTGTAATCTTTTGGCTTTTCAATGGAATTTTCTTTTATTTACTATCAAAAGAAAAAAAAAAGAAAAGAAAGTTGTATTTTGAACTTTGACAATAAGATGTGCTGGCACAAGAGTTATCAGCTTGCACTTTCTCCTTAACCAAACTTGCATGATTTGTTGCTTGGGTTTGGATGAGGAGACAGTCTTCCACTTGTTCTACTCTTGCAGGATTGCCCATTTCATGTGGAGAATTTTCTACTTCCTCTTTGGAATGAGCATTTTCAGCCTTTGGCTACAGCAGAGTTGTTCTCCCCTTGGCCAAGATTTAATGGGTGCAAGAAAGAAAGGATTGTGTGGAGTTGCATCCCTTTTGCAGTCTGCTGGGTTTTATGGAATGAGAGAAATAGAAGATTATTTGAGAACAAACAGAAGAACATTGGAAGGCTGTTAGCTATGGTTGAAAATTTGGTGTCCGATTGGATTCTGGTGCATCCAGAATTTCATCAGACTAGCAGAGCAGGGGGGGGGATTTTTGGAATTTTCTTGAGTTACAGACTTGTAATCTTGATCAGTTCCTTGTCTCTTAATTTATCCCTTGTAGTGTTGACCTTATATGTTTAAGGCTGCGGTTGGGTGTTATCTTAACATTCCCTGGGTTGTATGAATCTTTTTTTCTTTTAATGAAAATTTTTATTCTGATTCCTCAAGAAAAAGGTGTGGTGATGCTTCTTTCCCCCCCCCCCCCCCCTTCTTTCATATTTATTGCTTGGCTGCTTGTTTTGTGTCAATTTGTAAGTTAGAATGGTAACCTTGCAAGCAATTATTTCTACGTGCAGGATGTTTTTCCTGTTATTCCTGGGGATACTGATTACAGAATATTTGCTGAAGATTATGGCAACATTCCTGGACTGGATATCATCTTTCTTCTTGGTGGCTATTTCTATCATACATCTCATGATACTGCGGATAGACTATTGTATGCATTACAAGTGCTATTTTGGTACACATGCCTTTTTGTTTCTAAATTTAAACATCAATATGAAAAGACAAGCCAAACTTTATTTTATAGTGTCTTTTCATGGATCCCACCATGTCCGTGGGCTGAACAATTAGCAGAAAACCATTGTTTATTAGACCTTCTTGCCACTGATTATTTTCTCTGATAGTACAAACTCCTCTAAACCAGACCAGGTAGTATCCAAGCACGGGGAGAGAATCTGTTCAGTGTAATCAAGGCCTTTGCAAATTCGTCTAAGCTGCAAAATGCTCATGAAAGAATTGCGCTTGCAGTTGCAGACAACAAAACCAAGGATGATCATGCCATTTTCTTTGATTACTTATCATGGGTTATGGTATGTAAACTTAGTCGTAACTGTGTTATATCCCTTGGTTAACTTGTATTGCTATAATGGTATAAATGTTTCACATCTACTGTCACATTTTTCTACCCTAACATGCTTTCCAGTTGATATAAGTAAAAATGTTTTATGAGAAATGTCATAAAATGCTGTATGATTTTAGAATATAAAATGTCAAATGATGACAATTAAGCACCATATGTCTTATTTATTTTATTTTATTTATTTCAGATATTCTACTCAAGACAGGAAGCTTTGGTACTTCACAGTCTTCCTATTGTTATCTTCTTACTCATGCCATTTTATTTGCGTTTTCCAAATATTGGAATGCATTCTTGGTTCACAACCTTTTTTGACTTTGTGAAGGGTATGAATTCTGTCAACTTTAAAATCATTACTCCATTTCTGGAACTGTTTCAGTCATTAATAGGAGTAATTTTTGCACTCTTCCCTTTTGTGTTCTGATTTACTTCTCTCCTAGTGTTTCATGTAGACCGTTAGATTGAAATGCTTAATTTCTTTATGTTCCTAACCCTGTTGATTTTTTGAACTCTCTCTTGGTTCTTTATCATATATTATTATTATTATTATTATTATTATTATTATTTAAAATGTAAATGTATTGATAAGAAAAAAGAAGGTAAGAAAGCACAAACTGTCCAGATACAATGAGAAACTGTTAAAAACAGGCCCAGAAGGCACATCCAAAAAGACAAGCACCCAGATTAAAACCCAAAAATAGATTGTCCAGAGAGAATGGCATGCACAGGAGTATCTTTAAACACTCTGTCCAGCAAGAAATCTTTCAGAATATTCTCTTCCTGAGAAACCTTTCCCTCAAAACCTATTCTGTTTCCTTCCATCCCAACTGATCACATCACCCCTGCTGATTAAGGCCTTGCACCAACCAACTCTCCATCAGCTCCTTAAATGATTGTGGGGAGGTCCAGCAAAGTTTGATGAACAAAAGGCTATAAGTCCAGGTCTTGTATGCAATTGGGGAATGTAAAAACAGATGATTGTCTATTTCAATTGCACGTAGAGCAACAGAAAACAGATATCTCCACTCCTTGACTACTGTGCTTGTCCCTGGTTAAAGTTTTACCTAAAACTGTTGTCCACAACCTGAATGCAATTTTAGAAGGTGCCAGAGCCCCTCCAAACACCTTTATGTGGGAAAGAGGCAATTCCTGCTGGACTTAATTGTCTAGCAAAAAATACAACAAAAAAAAAACCACTTTTCGCCATTCCCAAATTCTGCAATCACTGGAACCATGGTTCAGCTGCTGCCTTGAAGTTTGAGCATAAGATTTCCTACCTCATCAACCTCACGATCTTGAAGGGGAAAAAGAGATTTTTGTAAAACCAAGGCACCCATGTCAGAGTATCATTAGCCACTTCAAAGGGTTAAGCGTTCACCACTTGCTTGTCATTTCGAATAGATTTGCAAAGATTAACTAGATTGGCCTGTTATTAAACTATGTATCCAGCCAGAAGTGAATTTTTTCCCTAAACCTTCTTGTTGGTACCCTTAATGGAGTTGTAAGATTTTTCAATGCTCTCCCACATTGAAAACTGTATATTGTGTGTGCCTGACCCAGGTCCCAGTTCTGATTTCTTGAGCCATGTTTAGCTTTAATTAGCTGCCTCTACCAGCTTCCAACTAAACTATATTGCCAGTTCCAGTTCCCAGCAATGTTTTATTCATCACTTTCAATATCCTAATTCAAGACCTTCTTCCTCCTTTGGAAAGCAGTCTTATTCCTATCAATCAGGTGAACTTATTTTCTTCTCCCTGCCCCTTCCACATTAACTCTCTTTGAATTCTTTCCATTTTTTTCCACCTTCTCTGGAATGGGAAAAGGGAGAGAAAATATGTAGGAAGGTTGGCAACTGTACTTTTGATCAATAACAACAGCTTTATTAATCATATGAAAATTGTGAAACTTTAGATACAAAAGGGGGAGATAAAATGTCTTAGCTCCCCATCAACCGAATACAATGAAAGAAAATTAAAAATTAGCCCAAAAGATCGACTCCCTATTCACACCTTGCTTGGCCAACCCATCCGCAAATGAGTTGGCATTCCTCTTCACCCAGCTGTATTGTATCTCAATGTCCCTACACAGCCATAAGAACTTTTTCTTTTCATTGTTGTAGCTCCACAATGCACTGTCCTCTTTCTTCAACCAACTAACCACCACCTTTGAATCACCTTCCAGGATCAAACGGTTGATATTTAATTCCCTTGCTCTTTGAATTCCTTCCAGCGCTGCAAGGATCTCAGCCCTAAGAGAGTCACCTTCTCCAATAGGGCCTGAGAACAAAGCAATAACAATCCCTTCCTCATTCTTGAATACTCCCCCAATCCCATAGGGCCCTGGATTCCTTAAACTACTGCCATCAAAATTCAATTTTATAAATCCGGAGGGAGGAGGGGACCAAGAGGGACTAAGAGTCCTCTTGCATGGAGCAGTGGTATCTACCTCTTTCCAATTTCTTAACAAGTCTCAGGTCTAACAGTTCTTCCAGGGTTCTTTCCTTGTTTGAAAAAATTCGTGAATTTCTTTCTTCCTATAGGGACCAACACACGGTTGCCATAATACTCCACATAATCTTCCCTCCTTCTTAGGGCATCTGAAAAACGAAGGAGAGAACAAACTTTGGACACTCTCGGGAGGATTCCAAGAACACCCAAGGCGGGAAAAAACCCACTCCCATACAGTTTTAGTAACCTTACAAGAGACCATGAGGTGGTAACCAGATTCTCCATTAGCTTTACAAAGAGAACATCTATTAGGAAGTAGACAATAGTTGGGTCTCTTTCTCTGAAGTAAGTCAATTGTGTTTATTCTTTCCAGGAAAATTTCCCAACAAAAAATACCAACCCTAGGAGGAATAGGCTTGCTCCAAATTTCCTTAGCCGGAAAGGACAACCCAATAGGGACAAAAGGCTGAGTTAAGTTTCAAAAAACGAAGCACAAGAGAAAGTACCTGAGGTGGAAGAGGTCCAAATTCTGGTGTCTTGTTAGGATCTAGGAAAACATTCTCAAGGATGGCTAGCAAAGGTAAAATGCTGTCCAGGTTTGTATCCCTAATTGCCCTTCACAGGCCTAGGTTTCACCCAAAACTAGAAGTGGAGTCTGAAGGACCTAAGAAAGAAGAGATAGGTTCATTTTTCAAATCTGACAGAGCATACAGGGAGGGAAACTGGTCCTTCAGAGGTGCATCCCCAACCCAAAGTTGTTTCTAGAACTCTATTCGGTTACCAGAGTTTAGACCATACCTGGTCCAAGGGGAAAAAACTAGAAGCAGATTGTGAATGGATTTCCAAGGAGAAGTAGCTGTAGCCCTTGCCACAATTCTATGATCCCAGCCATTTTCTTCAAGCCCATGTATGCTAGCCACAATCTTAGTCCACAATTTATCCCTTTCATTTGTAAACCTCTACAACCATTTTCCTAGCAAGGCCATATTTCTTTTCTTGATGTTACCAATCCCAAGGCCTCCTAGTTTTTTACACCTAGTTACCACCTCCCAACTCACCCTATGATCTCTCTTCTCTTCTCCAGGCTCCCACAAAAAATTCCTTATTAATTTTTCCAAGAAATTGGAGACCTTAGAAGGGATCTTAAACACTAACAGATAGTAGACAGGTAGGTTAGCTAGGGTAGACCTAATCAGAGCGACTCTCCCTCCTAAGGAAAGATAATTTCTCTTCCAAGACGCAAGCCTCTTCTCAAACCTCTCCATTACCAGATTCTAGAAGCTTACATTCTTAGGATTATCTCCTAAAGGGAGGCCCAAGTTTGTCAAGGGCCAATTCGAGATTGTACAACCTAACTCACCTGCATATTCCCTTAACTCCCTTTCCTCCACATTCACTCCCACCATACAACTCTTATCAAAGTTCACCTTGAGGTTAGATATCTGCTCAAAGAGTTGTATTGCCAATTTTAAGTTCCGGATCCAATTTATGTCCCCTCCTTCACAAAACAAAATTGTGTCATCTGCAAACTGTAGATGTGTCAGAAGAACCTCCTCCCTTCCTACTCGCCACCATTTTATCAAATTCCTCGAGTTTGCTCTATGGATCAATCTCCCAAGTACATCGGCAATCAGGGTGTAAAGAAAGGGGGAGAGTGGGTCTCCATGTCTTATACCTCTCAAAACAGGAAAGAGGTCAACCACAGTTCCATTCACCAAGATAGAATAATGACAAAACTTCTCAATACCTCCAACAGGAAGGACCAATCAACTAGGTCGTAATCCTTCTCCAAATCTAGTTTGCATATCACTCCCTTCTTCTTCGATTTCCTAAGGCTCTCCAGACTCTCATTTGCAATGAGGATCTGATCAGTGATCTCTCTTCCCTCCAAAAAAGCACCTTGGTTGGGTGCAATAATAGCGGGAAGGACCTTCTTTATCCTGAGAGGCAACACTTTTGCAATATTTTTATACAAGCTATTCACCAGATTGATAGGTCTAAAATCCTTTGGTTGTGATGCCTCTTTCTTCTTTGGGACCAAAGCAATGAAAGTTGATTTCAAACCCGGATTAATTATTCCCCTTCTGTGAAACTCCTCGAAAACTGACCTAAGATCATTCTCCACAATATCCCAACAATCCTGATAGAATGCCATTGTGAAGCCATCTGGACCCAGAGCTTTTGTCCTATCCATTGAGAATACTGCTTCCTTTATCTCCACTAGATCAAAACTCTTTTCTAACCACTCTCTTTTCTCTGCACTTAGAGTCGGCCATTCCAATCCCTCCAACCACACTCTCTCATCCAAAGGCCTTCTAAAAATAGATTTGAAATGGTTTACCAAGGCCTCTGCTATTGGGTGGGACAAAACTGTTCCTTCAACTTCCAACTTAGATATGAAATTCTTTTTTCTCCTCCCATTTGCCATTGAATGGGAAAATCTGGTGTTTCTATCTCCCTCCTTTAGCCACTTACACCTGGATTTTTGCCTCTAACTAATTTCCTCCTTAACCAGGATATCCTCCATATGCCTCCTTAGATCCCATCCCATCTTCCTTTCTTCCTCTCCAAAGGATCCTCTCTCTTCCTTCATGTCCAATTCCTCAATCTGCTCCAGCAATACTTGTTTTCTCTCCTCTATTCTTCCAAACTCCAGCCTATTCCACTCCTTTATCAGTGATTTTAGGAATTTAAGTTTCTTGTGGAACCTCATTCCCTCCCATTCTACTACCGGATTAGATTGCTCCCACCACTCTCTGATCTTCTCAATGAAACCCGGATGAGTCAACCACATATTTTCAAACCTGAATGGGGTAGGTCCATCACCTCTCAATTCCTCCTTACTCATCACTATAGGCCAATGGTCTGAAGTAAGTCTTGGAAGTGCCCTAGATGTTAGATTACCCCAATGTTCTTCCCAATCTGTTGAGAAAAAAAATTTGTCCAACTTAGAGCATATTGGCCTAGATTGAAGGTTGGACCATGTGAAGTTATTATTTAGGAGTGGAAGTTCTTTAAGTTCAAATGTATCCACAAATTGGTTGAACTTCCTCATACTTGTTGTCACTCTCTGTTTGGGGTTGTTAGTTTCCTCTATAAATTGCATTACATTAAAATCCCCTCCCACACACCAAGGTCCTTCCCAGGGGCCTCTAATATCACTCAATTCTTCCCATAATTTCTCCCTCTGCCTATAGTCATTGGGGCCATATACATTTGTTAGTACCCATTCATACCCGTTGTCCACCTGTCTGAACTTTAGGGAGACAGAATGTCTCCTATTAACTCCTCCACACCGATTAGTATTTCTTCTTTCCACAACGTTACAATCCCACCTGAGGATCCCCACAAAGGAGCAGCCGCCCACTTTATCCCCCTAGATCTCCACACACTCCTTGCCCATCTACAATCAAAATCCATTCTTTTGGATTCCTGAAGCATTACCACATCCGGGTTAAACTTCTTAATCACCTCTTTAATTGTTGCTCTCTTCCTAATACTGCCCAATCCCCTCACATTCTAGCTCAGGATTTTCATTTTAACTTCTTAAACTCAACCCTAACTCCTCCAGAATCTATTTAAACCCTTTCCTTCTATCCCCTCTCACCTCAAACTTCTTGTCCCCCTCAATATCTCTTTTAAATCTCTCAACTTCACTCAACTTTCTTTTCTTGATCTTACTGTCCTCTTTTTTTTTTTTTTGCATATAAGCTTTTAAGTCATTCGGATTCTTTAGTTTGCACCCCAACTTTTTCACAAATTCTGCAACTGACTCTTCCCTATTAGTTTCCTCTTTCTCTATTGTTCCACTCTTCTCATTACCTCCACTAAACCAACAGCCCTTTCTGTTCCCTCTATAGTCCCCCTTTGCAGTTTTTTTTTTCTCTCCACTTCATCCATTAGTCTCTCAATGATTTCCCAAATCTTTGTCTCTCTGCATGTTTTCTCAACCACTTCCTCTCCCTGTAGTCTCACTGTGGCTTTCTGACCATGGGCCTCCCACTCTTGGTTGAGAAGGGAATCTAAAACAAGGGACACATAACACTCATCAGTAGCAAAAACTGAATTGATAGAGTTGAAAGATTTACCTGAGGTCAATTGAGGGTTGTGAGGAGTGCGCAAATGAGGATAATTGGTTGTCACTTCCTTTTTTGAGAACTTGAAGCACTCTGTCTCCTCGGTTTGGGGGAAATTATTCCTTGTCACTTGATTTACACAAAGACCTCTTCCTGTGCCCAATTGCTTACCTCTCTGTGTTGTACTCTTGTTCAGTTCTGAGTAAGCATGAGCTATCTCCTTTTCACCCTTTTGCAATGCACCAGAACTTGGGAGGGGCTCATCCGGTTTTAGGCTAATATCTCATCTGTTACAAATATTTGCTTCATTCACCCGCACTTCCCCCTTCTCCTTTTGTTCCTCCACCGTATCCCCAATGAACAAGTGTTCCAGATTTAAAATCTCCTTGCTCTGATCTTCATAAGGTTTTTCATCTTCCGATCTGCCTAAACTCTCACACTCTTCCGAGTTTTCTCTGAACTGTAGCTTATCCACCCTTGGTCTGCCTCTTCCCTCTCTTCTGTTTTGTTTCTCATGTAGTGCGGGTTCGGGCGATCAAAACCATGGCATTTATGCTCATCGCCAGCCGGCTGGCTTACCCAGCTCAGAGGTCAGTTTCCCCCTGCCGTTCTCGTCCTCTGAAACTCCAAACATTCAGCCGAACGAGACTTGGACGACGATAGATGAGAATTCTCATCTATCGTCGTCCAAACCTTTCCCCGCCCCACGTGATGACTTAAGTTGTCATGTGGGCCTCTAATATTACCATCGGGTTCCCCTGTTGGCTCACCCATATTTCTAGCCGGTTCGGTCTTCCTTATAACCGGTTCAGACAATGCCTTTCTAATAATATCCGCCTGAATCTTTCCCCTTCTGGCCATGTCAGCATAGGAAGGGCCACCCTCATTACTCATTCCTACTTCAAAAAGATTTGAATTAATAGCCTTAATAGGAAGGCTTCGAAACTTGGGGCACCCCTGTGACTGTTCCCCTTTCTCTTTCACTCTCCCACGCACTACAAGTTTCCCCACCAGTCCTTGAGAGCCATGTGTACGCCATCCTACAAACTCCTCTTTGCTTCCGACTAGACCTGTTCATGGGCCGGGCCGGGCTTTCACTTGTCACTAATGAAAATATACTAGGCCCGAGCCCGAGCCCGACTCGACCAACAGGCCTATAACTTGGGCCCGAGCCCGGCCTTGGTAAAAAGCCCAAAACCCGAGCCCGAGCCCGAAGCCCGACCTAATTGAAAAAAAAACAATTTTCCCTATTCAAATTAGAATTAAAAATTCAGATAGTATTTTTTTTTCTATTTAAATGAACAATGGGCCTACAAGATGGTATTTTTCCCTTTCTTTTATATTTTAAAACACAATTTTACATTCTTAAATCAAAAAATTTATTCAAATGAACATAATCACATAACTAATTTTAAGTTTAATATTAGGTCGGGCCGGGCCGGGCTCGGGCCGGGCTATTTTGACAAAACCCGAGCCCGGCTCGAATTTATTGTGGGTTGGGCTTTTTGGCCCGAATTTAAGCCCGCGGGCCTATAAGCATGTTCAAGCCCGTCCGGGGGTCGGGCCAGGCCGGACCGGCCCGTCGGGCCACTCGGCCCATGAACAGGTCTACTTCCGACCTTTGTTTGTCTCCCCAGAGTGACGCCTTAGCTTATGAGGCCAACCAGACCCTGTACCATGCGTCTTCTGAGTGCACTTCGAATGAACGAGGCCGGTTTTCTGGTTTAACCCCTACAACCTTTAGTTCCACAGCTCGCAGGTTCCTCATGTTAACCTCCAACAGAACTCCACCCAGAGCTCTGACGGTTTTCCTTAGAGTTGGTTCGTTCCAGAGATTGAAGGGAAGTCCCAGAAGTTTGATCAAGAAGCTATTGTCTCTTGGCTCTACTTTTGATCAATGTTACCTTTTATCTTTTTGAAAGATAACTTTGTATTCTATTAGAAGTGATAAAAAATGATATATACAGATACATTGCAGATTAATTAGGCTAGCAATACTGCTACCTAAATCATTTGCTGGTTGGGATTATAATACCAGATTACAATTTCGCCCCTAATACAAATTACCCCTATTCACCAGTTGTCTTGCAAGTGCATCAACAACACTATTTGATGCTCTGTGTTCCATGACCATGTGATTCTCAATTCTCCTGACAGCAATTTAGCCTGTCTTAGGGTGTATCTCTGCTTCAACCTCTATATTCTGCAAGTTTAAATTCTTGAGTGACCAATGCTGCAGCTGCCAAAATCAAGCTTAAATACACTTGTAGTTAATGGCTTCCACTCCTTTGATAGTTAATGTCTAGAGATTGAAGAATGAGCTACATAATGCCATCCCCTTAAAATGTCATCTTTGGAAAAGGGCTAAAAAATTTCCAACATCTTTTCCCTATTTACCACTCTACTCTATATTCTCAATAACCTCATCCTTGGATCTTCTTTTCTCATTGAATTGTTTTTCTCTTTCCAAAGGACCCAACAAGTGGCTACCCTAGTGCATCTCTAAAGAACCCCCCTCCCTTTAATTGGGTTAAAAAAGGTTTTTGAAGGCAAAGATTCTAGAGGTACTTCAATTTCCAATCTTACCTTCCCACCTTTCAAGAGGTACTTCAATTTCCAAGAGGATAAACTGTTCTCAAACCATTCCACAACCGGGTCCAATAACAAACTTGATGTGCACTTAGCTCAAAGAAGTAAACTGAAGTAATATGATTAGTAAATATACCATGCCATGCCCCACTTCTGCCAGCTCTTCCACTCCCTCAACATGATCATCTGGAATTATGTAACTCTTTCTTAAATTTATTATCAAGATAGAGACCACTTCAAACCGGCACAAGATTCCATGTAGGTTCCAGAGGTGCTTCTGTGACACTTGCAAGAAGAAAATTGTATAATCCGCAAGCTCTAGCAATTCAGCTCTGTCAAAAACAGGCAATAACTCTAAAATCTTCAATAAAACCTCTTTTAGCCACTTTAGCAATAAGTTTGGCAAATGCTTCCTCACATAAATGAAAGGTAAAGTAAAAAAGGATTACCTTGTCTAAGACCTATAGAGTTTTTGAAATCCAGTTGGAGTTCTATTCAGAAAATAGAAAATTTGGGAGTGGAGTTGCATACTTTCATCCACTTTTACCATATTGGCTCTTATTATTTAGTTGCTGTTATTGGGCCCAAGGCCCATTAGTTTTGTGCTGATTTAAGTTGCTGTTTTATGTTTTTTTAGTGTTTTGACAATAGCAGCCCTGTTAAGGGCATATTTGACATTGCACATCTTTTGTTCTTGAGTATAAAAGTTAATGGGAGAGGCGACCAGATTACAATTGGCTTCTTTTCCCTTTCTCTCATCTTCTTCTTCTTCCTCTTACTCTCAAAACTCTTTCTTCTTCTTTCTCTTTAGTTATTTTATTTTTGTTATTTGCTACTATAAGCATATGGCTTCCTATTGTTATATCTGCTGCTTTTTGCAGGAATGCTGTTCCACTTCATTGGTATTGTTTTGGCAGCTATTATTCCTGTAATCTTTGCCATCTTGAGGTTGCTTTTCTCTAGCTATGCAATGAGCTGGTAACTTTCCCACTTCCTGAATTGCATGTTATTTTGAATTATTGCAGTTACTCTATGCAGTTATGGTACTACCTTAGTGGATGGGAATTACACTGGTCATAATTCATATGTTTGGTCATTGTGTGGATGTTGTGGGAATATGTGAACTTGGTAAATTCTTGCTGTTAACACAAATCAAGCAAGTTATATTTAGTTCTACTCGAAGGCAAAACCCTCTAGTCACTTGTCATTTATCAATAACCTTCTTAGTGGGGATGAGCATCAGGCTGGGCCTTACTGGGCTGAGGTTGGACCGGCCATGGCCTGAACTCAGCTCAAGGTTCTAGTCCACAGCCCAGTCTGACATCATACTTGGGGCCTTAGGTTGGCCTGAACTCTCATGGTACCAAAATCTTAATATGCAATAAATATTTATATATTTGGAGTTTAGCATATTTTAGCGAATGTAAGAAAATATGTAGACAAAGAGACTTGAACCCATTATCTCTCGGAACAAAGTTAGTACAATACCGCTTATAATAATCTCCTGATCAATACACAACATATGAAATACATGCAAATCACTATTAGTCATATTGGGCCTTGAGTTATCAGGCTAGGCCAAGGTCAGCCAGAGAGCCTAATTCAACTTTGGACCTGTATTTTGTTCCAGGCACGGCTCTATCTTACCTTGGGTTTGGGCCAGGCTCAAGCCGTTATGTCAAATTGGCATAACTTATGGCTGTTTTGTTGGTGCCGGGAAGGATTTGGTATTGTCCTCCATGAATTTTCTTGTTTATTCCAAATGAGGATTTTCAGTTGCATTGATTTTATAAGATCACTGGCCATCATATTTGGGACAAAAAGGTCATTACCTAGTGCTGGTCCAGGCTTCATATAGTCTTGGGAGTGGAGTGGTAACAGACCTGACCTCTAGCATTTTAGTATGAAGTGGCTGCTCTCATACTTGAGCTTGAGTTCTCATGCTTGTCATTCTGAGATTTTACCATCATATCAAGAAATAGATGTTCACATATCAAGAAATAGATGTCACTGTATAAAACATCCCTTCCCACCCCAAGATTATTTCTATTCGGTCTTCAGGCAATGTTCTAAAAATTGTAATCGTAGACAAAATTGAATTGTAAACCGTAAGATTATTTCTATTTTTTAAAAACTTGTACAAAATAAAATATAGATATGCTAAAAGGCAATCTATCTATCTATCTGTCTATCTATATATGGTTTTAAATAACGTAAATAAGTCATTTTCTAGTTAGTTCTTTAAAACAAGTCACCTTTGACAAATATTAACAAAATAAAATGACAAAGTAGAGAACTAATTCTTTATTGAATTGATTTGAATCGCAAAAACCGTCAAATCGTAAAATTTTTGTATAAAAGGATTCGGACATAGGATTCAAATCGTATCTTAAATTGTAAGATTTTAACAACATTATCTCCAGGGACTATCTTTCTGATTGTTCATCCAGCGGATCACCAAGCTTGAATCTCCTTCCACCACTATTGATTTCTTTAATCTCATTTATGAAGAAGCTATTCAGTCTCCAGGGACTATCTTTCTGATTGTTCATCCAGCAGATCACCAAGCTTGAATCTCCTTCCACCACTATTGATGTAATGTTAAGATCCCTAGTGCATCTCAAACCCTTCTGCTTCAACAGTCTCTGCCTCCCCAGCCGGACCACTACAAGCTCAAATTAGGTCACAATTGGACTTTAAAATTCACTCCCAATCCCAGAAAGTCCTCTTGGTTTAAAGTCTTCCTGCAACTTCTGTTAAACTGTAAAATAAAATCACAAGGGGTCCTTGGGGAAGCAATGACACGAGCACATGTAAATAATTGATAAATGCAAAAAATAAGAAAATCCAAGGAAGAAGGTGTCCTAGTTTTGGCATATCTAGAAACATTGTCTTTGAGGTCTCTTGTGACCTTGATGATAGTAGACGACATGCCAGGAGTTTGAGGTTGGTATTCCATAGGGCACATAACCAAACTCTGATTCAGAATGTTTAATTGAAAAGACACAGATCTTAGTTTTACTAGATTATTGTTCTTTTTTTATATGCATATCTTTATGCGTAGAACTATCTTGACTAAGTGCAGGTTTGCTCACCCATATTTGGCTTTCTTGATGTTTGTCCCCTGCTCACTTGTTGGTTTGTTGATCCCAAGAATTTTATGGAAATGCTTTCCCCTCTCTCAAGATACTTCAGCTCTCAAAACATCAAAGGAGGTATGTGTTTTCTTCTTAGGTTACCATTACACTTATTCAAAGTTTGTACCATGTCTTGTTTTGCAATTGATCTCAATTTTGATACCTAATAATTGCTTAATTGAATTTGACTTAATTTTGACACAATTACCTTCCTTTTGGCCATAAGGTTATGTTCTAATATACGACCTTTTTTTTATGTATGCACCTGATAGATTGGTAGATTTGTTGTTTCACTTGCATATGGCATTCGAGAAAAGCTCCAAAGCATGTGATATGCTATTTCTACAGAATAAGTTGACCTCATTTCTACCATATGAGAATCTTACAGAACAACTAAGGATAGAAGTTATAATTGTAGAATGAAAACATGTGCACAGTATGCAGAAATAGTTGCCTTGAGCTAATTGTTTTCTCATTGGTTTTGTCTGAAGTGTTGGTTCGAGTGGTTAAGTGTTGGTGGGCTTAGTTTAACTTTTATGTTTAAGTTCCTTAGTCTATTATGGACCTTTAGTTATTGGGCCTAAACCTGTTTTATTTTTCTTTATTATGTCTAGGTGTCCCATCACTAATCAGGGGCATTCTAGTCCCTTTATGTAATCTCTTATTCTAAATATATATATTAGCTTCTAGGGTTGGCTGAGACACTATTGCCGCCCATTCTCAAACCTCTTCTCTTCTCTTCTCTTCTTCTTCCTCTTCTGCTGCTGTTCTCCAGCAAACATGGTATCAGAGCTCCATTTGGCCTGACTGGTTACAGCTAGCTTCCTTCTTCTCTCTCCTCTTCTCAGTTTCTTTTTTTTTCCTCTTATCTCTGCCACTGTGTAGAAACCCTAGGATTGACTGTAGACAACAGCAAGGTCTGTATCTAGGGTTTCTCTTGGCTGTAGGGCCCAAGGGGAGTTTTTTCCCAAAAGCTTATGGCCTACTAGTTGTTCTGCAGCAGTTAGTAGCCATTCGGTTACTAGAGAGATCCCTGTAGAACAGATCTAGGTAGAAGGACTGAGTAGACAATCCTAGTTGGTGTCTGGGAGATTGAATGAACCGTAGGGGTGGTCACAGTCCAGGTTTGACCTCCAGAAGTGGTGTTGTTTTCAGTCCAGAATCTGCTCTCAGCCAGAAATGTTGTTTTCGGCCCAGAAGTGCTTTAGTACAGTTTACAGAGGTGGTGGTGTTCTCAGTCCAGAATCTTCTCAGCCGGAAGTGATGTTGTTTTCAGCCCAGAAGTGCTTCAGTACAGTTACAGAGGGTGTTTTCAGCCTTGTAACAGCTCCGGTAAGTCTGAAATCTAGTTCCTTGTGTTGAGATTTCAGCTGTAGTTACTGTAAGAGGAAGAATATGTCTTCAATATCAGGTGAAATGTCTTCTAAGGACAATAGGACTGGTGGGAGGTCTTCAAACCTGGAAAACCCAAATCTGCATAGCTTGCAGATCACCAACGTGTTGTTAGATGAATACAACTTCAGAGAATGGTCTGTTTCAGCCAAGCTTTTCATTACTTCCCGGGAACTTATGGGCTATTTAGATGGACAGAAGAAAGAACCTAAAGAGGATGATGCTGATTACTCAATCCGGTGTAAGGAAACTGCTAATGTTATGTCCTGGCTGCTTGCCTCAATGACTTCAAGAGTGGCTAGGACTGTTCAGCACTTCCCTAATACCTCTAAGATTTGGGAGAAGGTGTCTAAAACCTATGGATAGAGAAAGAACAATGCAAGAATTTATAGGCTAACCCAAGATATTGTTGCATTGAGACAATGAGATATGTCTGTTGCAACTTACTTTGCAACTCTAGAAGGACTATGGGAAGAACTTGACCATCATCTTGTACTTGATTGGGAAAACACAAGAGATAAGGAGAGGCATGATAAACAAATTGAAGAAGGCAGAGCTTTTAAGTTCTTGGCTGGCCTAGACCTGATGTATGAGAGCATAAGATCCCAAGTTTTGGGAAGGGATGAAATTCCAGATTTACATCATGTTTACTATCTTGTAAGGAATGAAGAGGTTAGAAGGAAAGAGATGCAAGTTGACACCCAAGTACAGCCTGTTGAGCATTCAGCCTTGATTTCTTCAACCCAAAAGGGGGCAAGCATTCAGACAAGAGGCATCTCAAGTGCTCTCATTGTGGAGGTGACAGACATTTGAAAGAGACTTGCTGGATTCTTTATCCTCATCTGAAACCAGTTGCATTAAGGAAAGACAATAAGCCTCAGAGGAGTCAAACAACAAGTGGGAACGTCATAAGCAACAATGGTGAGAGCCCAAAGAACACATCTATAGTTGCACCTCCTCTTATGGGACAGACTACTAATTCCCGCACACTCGGGTCCTTTGATTTCACTACTGATGAGGTAGAAATCCTTAGCTGGCCATGGCTCCTCTAAGGAACAATTCCCTTGCTTTCACCTCTCTTGCTAGATCAGGTATTGTCTTTGCTTACAGTGTAACTAGTCCTTAGGGTCTAATTCTTGGATTATTGATTCTGGTGCTACTGACCACATGACACACATGTCTTCTTTATTTTTTTCTTATCATTTGATGTCTGGCCAAGATAAGATGAGAGTTGCTGATGGTTCCCTCTCCACCATCTATGGGAAAGGGGAGGTTGACCTAAGCAAGGATCTATCTCTTAAATTTGTTCTACATGTTGCCAATCTTGCTTCTAACCTCTTATATGTTTCTAAGCTTGTCAAGAATTTAAATTGTGGCATAACATTCTTTCTTACTCATTGTGTCTTTCATGACAGATTAACGAAGAGAACGATTGGGAGAGGTCATGAGTCTGGAGGTCTCTATTATTTTGAAGCAGACATTAGTTCAGCCTTACAATCATCTATTGTCAGTGGTCGGGATAATGAGGAGTCAGTAGCTAGGTTACATTTGTGGCATGCTAGACTAGGTCATTTACCTTTTTCTTTAATGCTAGGATTGTTTCCTGAGTTGTTCAAGTGTATTTCGAGTTAGAGTTTGGTTTGCGAAGTGTGTCAGTTGTCAAAACAATGTAGAACTCTTTATCCAATTTCTAGTAATGAAATTCAAGCTTCTTTTGATTTGGTTCATTCTGATGTTTGGGGCCCTTCACCTCTTATTTCTATAGATGGCTTTCGTTACTATATCAGTTTTATTGATCACTATTCATGATGCACATGGATCTACTTGTTAAAAGGGCGTGATGAAGTGCCACGGATAATCATGGCATTTTGTAAAATGATTGAAATTCAGTTTGGCAAGAAAATTAAGCAATTTCGTTCAGATAATGCCGTTAAATATTTTGAAAGCTCCTTGAATATGTTCATGGAGGATGGATGCATGCTACATCAGTCATCTTGTGCTAGTACCCCTCAACAGAATGGGGTTGCTGAGCGCAAAAACAAACATTTATTGGAGACAACTTGAGCCTTACTATGTCAGCACAAGGTTCCCAAGCACTATTGGTCTCAAGTAGTCCTTACAGCATCGTATCTGATAAATCGGATGTCATCTAGGGTGTTGGGTATGAGAACTCCTTTCTCTGTCCTTTGTCTTAACCTTCCAGATTTTCCTCTTCCTCCTAGAGTCTTTGGCTGTGTGTTTCATTCATGTCAAGGATCCTAAGAAGACTAAGTTGGATCCTAGGACTACTAAAGTGGCCTTTCTAGGGTACTCTCCCATACAAAAAGGTTATAAGTGCTATGATCTAGTTACCAAGAAAAAACGTCACTAAGGATGTGGAGTTTTTCGAGTCTCAGTCCTATTTTCAGTCTTCCGGGAATCCTCTTCAGGGGGGGGACTAGTGGGATGGAAGAGGATTCTTCTTCTCCCTCCTTTTCTGTGCTTCTTTCAGCCTCGGGCCTTCCATCTTCTCCTCCTGATCTTCCCAGTTTTAGCAGTCCAGGTGAATCTAGTGAGACTCCCATTGAACCTGTTATTGCTCTTGACTACCCAGGTGAATCCAGTGGGACTCCTACTAAACCTGTTACCGCTAGGTACTCAGAGGCAGTGTCTTGTAGAGACTGATCTATGTCTCTTACATCTTTTTTCTTTTTTGGCCCTTGGGACCACCCTTTTATGTTGTAACTTATGTACACTATCTTTTGTTTTATTATTTCTTGTAAGACAAGGACATAACTGTCATTTCCATATCATTGTATTATCTCATATATAAGTTAAACATTTATGGGCGTGATGTTCAAGACAGAACACACCCTTTTCACTCTCAACTCTTTCTCCTCTATTTTGATCCGAGTTGACATGTCTGACCCAAGATGGAGAGAGGCTATGAATGAAGAAATGAAAGCCTTAATGAAGGCCAGGACTTGGGAATTAGTGGATCTACTAGAAGGGAAGAGCACTGTGGGATGTAAGTGGGTGTTCATTGTGAAGCATGAGGATGGGTCCATTGAAAGATATAAGGCCAAGCTAGTGGCGAAGGGGTTTACTCAGAAGGAAGGGATTGACTACAAGGAAAATTTTGCTCCAGTTGCAAAGCTTAACACAATCTGGGTTCTATTGTCATTAGCCGCAAATTTCTCATAGGAGCTACATCAGTTGGACATGAATAACGCTTTCCTGAATGGTGATCTAATGAGGAGGTATTCATGAATCCTCCACCTGGTTATGATTTTGATGGGAAAGTATGTAGACTAAGGAAAGCATTATATGGTCTTAAGTAATCCCCTTGAGCTTGGTTTGAAAGGCTCTGTGGGGCCATGAAGAAAGTGGGATACTCACAGAGTGGTGTAGATCATACCTTGTTAATAAAGAAACAGGATAGCAGAGTTACAACAATTGTTGTCTATGTGGATGATATGGTGATTACAGGAAATGATCCAGAAGAGATAAAAAAGATTTAAGGAGTTCCTGGCATTTAAATTTGAGATCAAAGATTTAGGCCATCTGAGATACTTCCTTGGAATTGAGGTTGCAAGGTCACAAGAGGGCATTTATATATGTCAAAGGAAGTACGTCCTTAATCTTCTAGAGGAGACAGGTATGGTGGGGAGTAGACCGACAAATACTCCAATAGAGCATAATCATTATCTACAGGAATCGGTTGGAGAGGACTACCCTGATAAAGAAAGATACCAAAAGCTGGTAGTAAAATTGATATATCTATCTCTTACTCGACCTGATATTGCTTATGCGGTGCATCTTGTCAGCCAATTCATGCACTCTCCAAAGATTCCTCATATGAAAGCAATGGAAAGGATCCTCAGGTATTTGAAGACATGCCTGGGAAAAGGAATTTTGTTCAAAAAGCACAATAAAATTGAAATTGAGGTGTATACTGATGTAGGTTCTGTTGGAGATAGGAAGTCTACTTCTAGATATTGCACATTTGTTGGAGGGAATTTAGTTACTTGGTGAAGTAAAAAGCAGAATGTGGTTGCTAGATCAAGTGCAAAAGCTGAATATCAGGCTATGGCTCATGGTGTTGCTGAACTGTTGTGGCTTAGGATCCTCCTTGGTGAGCTCGAGATAAAGGTTGAGTGTCATCTCAAGCTGTATTGTAACAACAAGGCTGCTATCAACATTGCAAATAACCCAGTGCAACATGATAGGACTAAGCATATTGAGATTGACTGACACTTTGTTAGAGAGAGGATTGTCTCGGGTGAACTTTGCATTCTTTATACTCCTTCTGAGATGCAGGTTGCAGATGTTTTGACAAAAGGACTATCTTCAGTGAAGTTCTTAGACTTACTTGGCAAGCTAAACATGACTGGCATCCATGCTTAGCTTGAGGGGGAGTGTTGGTTCGAGTAGTTAAGTGTTGGTGGGCTTAGTTTAACTTTTATGTTTAAGTTCCTTAGTCTATTATGGGCATTTAGTTATTGGGCCTAAACCTGTTTTATTTTTCTTTATTATGTTTAGGTGTCCCATCACTAATCAGGGGCAATCTAGTCCCTTTATGTAATCTCTTATTGTAAATATATATTAGCTTCTAGGGCCAGCTGAAACACTATTGCCGCCCATTCTCAAACCTCTTCTCTTCTCTTCTTCTTCCTCTTCTGCTGCTGTTCTCCAGCAAACATGAAGTATGGTTCAATGTGAGCAGAGCTGAATAAGGAAAGCCTAAATGGAAATTAAAGTATTGAAAAGGAAATATAGGAAACTGAAAATTAATTGTTATTTCAGTAGCTGGAAGTACCTCTCATTTGGTCATGTACATCCTGCAGAAACGTGGGATGAGTTTGTGATTGGTTCTGAGTCTGACACATCTTAGGGCTTATTCTTTGTCCGTTAAAGGGGTTGCTTCCTATTGATTTCAATGGAGTCTCTTATATATTGATCATGAAATATATTCCTCCACTGATATATTGATCATGAAATATATTTGAGCATTTTCAGATTAACAAAAATTGGCATTATGGTTCAAAATTTGAGTATTTTTTTTGCTATTTGGCTCACCTATTTACCTATATTTCTACCTAAAATTTTGACTGAAGAACTATGGTACATTTGAACATTATCTGGCCATTAACTGGATAACATCATCTGTCACTTCACAATGACTCTAATAATTTTTGACAATGACCTGTGAACATTGCAGTTGCTATATGATGAAGCAAGATTTTGGGGAGCATTTGGAATATATGCTGTTATAACTTTGGTATGTAAGCTGATAACCACCCTCTATTTGATGTACTAATCCAAGGTAGCAGAGTAGAGAGTTCGAAACTACTGTCTTTATGTGAGTTAAAATGATCAATGCAACATCCATATTTTATGCTGTAATCTTTATATACATTTTTTAGAGAATACACTATCATTGCTGAAGTATTGATAGTGTTTATGCTTTTGCATGTTGGAATGGAAATGTTGAAGCCCAAGGAATGGGGACTCTTCGAAAGGCCGAAATACAATAAAGCCCTTGTACAATGAGAAACTGAACAGAGGATGACTAATCTGCCCAATACAGCCAAACCTCCAAAACAATCTCTAGATCCAGTTGGCACTTTCAAAAGGGGGGGGGGACTCTTGAATCATGATAAAACAATCTCTAGGTCCAGTTGGCAGTTTAGTTAAATTTGTTCCATTTTTTCTGTTTCTATGAAAATTTGGTTGATTGATTAACACTAGAAAATTTACTTTTTAATAGTAAATCATAGAAATAGAGCCTCTCAAAACTTGCCGTGCAGTATGTACTTTGTTGTTGATTTTTTTGCTGCTTCCTTCTTGCATTTTAAATGATGTAACAGCCTAATTAGTGCATCATTGTGCGGTTAGGTGGTTGTGTCATTTAATTAGGTTTAAAGCCTTTTATTTTGAAGTATAGAAGGGTCAATTGTTAACTTTCCACAACTAGAAATTAGTTGCTGGGACCTGGCAAGCTTACTAGAAAAAATATCATCATTAATCGAACTAAAATCTAACCAAATCCTTGCTGCCCAGTTGAGAGGACCAGTACCACCTAGAGTTCGAGCTTTCTGTTGGGAGGTCTATCACAACAAAATTAACACTTCGGAAAATTTGCAATGGAAAAGATCTTCCTGGTATCTGTCTCCTTGTATTTGCCCAATGTGCAAAGCTAATGGTGAAAATTATTTGCACTAATCTCCTCCAGGATTGTCTGCTACCTGGGACAATTTTTTCTTGTTGTTTGGATGCGGGTGGAGGCTGCCAGCTGATCTGAATCAACTGTTTGTTGCCTCCTTTACTCCATCAACAAAGAGAGGATGGATTCTATGGAGGTGTGCAAAGGTAACCATCTTATGGTGTATTTGGCAAGAGAGGAACAATATCATTTTTTAATAATAAAGAAATGGGTCTAAGGGTAATCGTTGGTAATATTGCCATCAAACTGGCTAATTGAGTTAAGACCGAGGAGCTGTTTGCTGTATACAGACCTAACCTGATATCCTTCCCAATGATATAAAAAATAATTTGATATCCTTCCCAAGGCACTAATGTTGGATTCCTAGGGAACTCAATTTAGTGGTTGATGGTTTAGCTGAGGGTGTTAGAAGTTTTTTTAGTGACAGCTCTTTGCAATCCTAATATTATATACTTGTGCAAAACCTCTTTACATGTTCAACTCAGCCTTAATCCCATCCCAGTTATTTGGACACTTGCTCTATTAAGAGCCATGGCTTTTTTTTGTAAAATTCTAGGTTCTTAGATCATTTCTTATCACTTCAACATTAATCCCAACTATTTGAGGTTGTTGGCTACATAAATCCTCCCCTGCCACTGTGCTCTATAAGAGTCACATTTTCTGTCAAATTGAAGTTCTTAGATCCTGTCATTTACATCCTTCCCATATACAACACAATTGATTTTGTTACTTTAACCAACCGAAAAAACACTGGGAAGAGAGTATGACTTTTCAAACAACAATGAAGTTTCAGTGATAAAATTTCGATTCTTTTGTTAACTTGGAAAGAAGGGACTGCTTGTCTTTATACAGTGGTTGGTTGGGTTCCCCATTAGGTGTAAAACCCTAGCAAAACAGGGGAAGTATATACTAAAATATTGGGGAATATTCCTTGCAATATTGTCCTTTAGTTTCCTCTAAGTTGGGATCTAGGAATGGGCTACACAGACACTTGTAGGTCAGACTGCAGGCTGTAGATTAAGCTAGAGAAGGCCTGCAGGAGTGGACTCTACACTTTCACAGACACTCCTGTTCTTTGACCAAAAACAATATATCATAAAATGACAGCTTCTGCTTTCTTTTAAACATTTTTTTACAGCTAATATGAGCATATTAATTTAAGAGATACTTATGCTGTTAAAAAAGATTAACTATACAGCTATAGACAATTGAGATCAATAGGAATAAGAGAATTAAATTGTGTAATAAGGTTTGTCTATTTGTAAATGAGATCATATATAAAAACCTAAATAATGAGAATATATAAAAGAGGAAAAACAAGAAAATGATGAGCTATCTATTCGTATATGAGATAAATAGTAAATCTGGTGCAAATTGAAAGATATAAAACTGTAAGGGAAAGGATTTAATTGCAGTTTGTGCCTGAGGATATACAATTCAATGTTGAAACTGTCCATATTAGACATTGTTTTACTTTTTTTTTTTCATTGTTCAGCTCACTTGTATACAAGAAATGTAGCTCTGGTATATGCTTGCTTTAAATAAGTCAGTCTGGAGGTCCTTACAGATGGCGTATGCTGATCTCAGTTGATCAGAAACCTGATAAAACTTCAGTAGGAAAACAAAGAAATAACAGAAGAAGAAGAAGAGAAGAGAAGAAGAATGAGAAGAAAGGGCGCAGAACTTTTTTTTATATACTCTTATTAAAACCAAGAACATAAAGACACTTATGCCCCTGCTGCCCAACTCACTCCTTAGTCAATAATGATAGAAATAATAATAGGCCCAGTAAGGCCTAGAAAACTAATAAACAGAAATAATAATAGGCCCAAAATAATAATTAAATAAAAGGAAAAAACAACTGATAATGGCAGGGACTTCACTAAAACTAGTCTATTTCTCCACACTCCTCATCAAGTTGGGAATAGATATTAGTCATTCCCAACTTGCATAAATCTGTCTCTAATTTGACTCTTGTAACTGCTTTGGTGAAGAGATCGGCCAGCTGCATATCGGAGGCAATATAAGGAAGGCACACTTCTTTAGAAGCAACTCTTTCCCTGATAAAATGTCAATCCACCTCAATATGCTTGGTTCTATCATGTATCAGATTATGAGCAGTATTGATAGCAGCCCAATTATCACAATACAACATTAAAGGCTTTTCATATTCAACCTCCAACTCCTCAAGTAGTGATACCACAACACTTCAGCCACCCCATTAGCCCATAGATCTGTATTCTGCTTCAGCACTGGAACGGGCAACAACTGTTTGTTTCTTACTCTTCCAAGAGACAAGGTTGCCCCCAACAAGAGCACAGTACCCTGAGGTAGATCTCCTATCATCCACACATCCAGCCCAGTTTGCATCAGTGTACACCTCTATCTTCATATGACCATTATTCTTGAAGAGTATACCTCTGCCTGGACACCTTTTTAAGTAGGCAAGTATCCTCTCAACTGCAAGAAGATGGGATGTTCTGGGAGACTACATATACTGATTGACAACACTAATAGCATAAGAAATATTTGGGCGTGTTAGTCAGAGGTAGAGAAGCTTTCCAACCAGCTGTTGGTACATGGGTTTATCTTCAAGTAATTCACCCACTTCTACATTTATCTTATGATTTGGCTCAATTGGTGTATTTGCTGGCTTACTTCCCAATTTTCCAATTTCTTCTAAGAGATCAAGGGCATATTTCCTTTGGGATATGAAGATACTATGCTTGGATCTAGCTACTTCAATTCCCAGAAAATATCTCAAATCCCCTAGATCTTTTACCTCAAACTCCTTACTAAGAAGCTTCTTGAGAGAATTTATTTCATCACTATCACTACCTGTGACCACAATATCATCCACATATATGGCCAAGAGAGTTAAAGCTGAACCTACTTTCTTGAAAAAGAGAGTGATCAGATTGAGCCTGTGCATACCCAAATTTTTCCAAGGCATGTCTAAACCTGTCAAACCATGCCCTTGGAGATTGTTTCAAACCATATAAGGCCTTCTTCAATCGGCAGACTTTTCCACTGTCTTTATTATAGAACCCTGAGGGCAACTCCATATACACTTCTTCCTGTAGATCACCATTAAGGAAAGAGTTTTTAACATCCATCTAGAAGAATAACCAAGAGAAGTTTGCAGCAAGAGACAACAACACTCTAATTGTATTCATTTTGGCGACTGGTGCAAAGGTTTCTACATAATCAATACCATAAGTCTGAGTGTATCCCTTCGCAACCAATTGAGCTTTGTATCTTTCAATTGACCCATCTGCATTGTACTTCACTGTAAATATCCACCTGCATCCAACCGGTTTCTTCTCTTTTTGTTGATTGACTATCTCCCAAGTATCATTTTTGACAAGTACATCCATCTCGACCTTCATTGCTTCCTTCCACTTAGGTACTATTAAGGCATCCTGTATAGTTTTGGGGATAGGTACAGAAGAAGCAATGGATACCAAAAAGGACTTATATGATGGTGAAATATGGTCATAAGAAAGAAATTGAGAGATGCAATGGGCAGTAGATGAGGTGCAGCGACGCTTTCCTTTGCGTATTGCAATAGGAAAGTCAAGATCATTTGTAGGAGGTTGAGGTTCAGTGATGGTAGTAGGCATATCATCTACAAAAGTAGTAGGAACAGAGGGTGAAATACCTGAATATGGTGTTGTAGTGGAGATTGGAGGTGGCCCGGACTGTTCATTACTGGAACCAACCTGCTTCCACCATCGTCTGTGAAACACTCTCAACTCCTTACACTTTTAATATCCCCCCTCACTACACTCCCCTTCATTGACAAGAATAGGCAATGGAACTTCTTGAGCAAAAACACCCTGCTCACCACTCTCCCCTTGGGGTGAAGTCTTAGAGTAATAAGGGGCATCCTCAAAGAATGTAACATCCATAGACACAAACATATCCCAGAGACTGGATTATAACAACAAAGCAAGTGCACCCAAAGGTCTTAAGGGGAATAGTGAACTAGTCTTTATCAGGGTATAAAAGGTTAAAAGATGCTTTCATGTCTAAAACTTGTGAAGGAACTCTGT